GAAAGTTGCATAGATTTCTGCAATCATAATGTTGTTTGTAACATCAGAAGATTACAACAATTGACTTATTTTATTCACCTGAAATAGAAAATCGTACCAAATGATAATGCTTAACTAAATGTTCCAAAGAGAAATCCAGTCCAGCAGTGATGTTGCTTTAGTCGCCATTCCGCCGTCTCTCTTTTCCAAAGACTTTTCTTAAAGGTTGGTTAGAATATTTCGAATGTTTTTAAGGTGAAAACGCAATGGTTTAACAGCATTGATTTATGATTCCCATCTTGTATCAAACTGTGCTTTCAACGAAATAGGCACATTCTCTAATGGTATCTTCCAACGAAAGGTTGAGGCAGAAAATAAAACATATCAACGATTAACTACCCCAAAGAACCTAACATAAACCAGCAATGACTGTGCAATATCCGTCAAAACAAGATTTCAGAGCATGCGCATTACATGGAACAAATAAAGCCTTTTCATTTATCTCAAATAACCCTGACTGAACCTATTTGGACTTGTCTGCCATATTGACACCATTGTCATAACTTTGACCACAACAATCTAATAAATCAATGTAAAATCTTTTAACAGCATCATTTTAAAAAGTCTCAAACAGTGCCTTTCCAGACGTATCATCTACAGTGAGAAAACCGAAGAAAGTTTTCGAAATGTTCATACCTTCATCAAGCTTACAGTGAACATATCTTAAAATTACAGACATTTTTTTTTTCAAAGGGGGAAATGTCAAAATTGCAGTCTAATATTATGGAATAATATTTTGTACATTTTAAATCGGAAAGTTTTTTGATATAATCATTTCTGAGAAAAGACTAATAAACTCATTCTGAGTATCTTTACTCAAATAATAATTGGACATTTTACCAGCCCAATCACGAGTTCGCTGAGGGCAGCCATATTTTGCAATCAGTTCTATCTATCCAAGAAAATTGTCATTTGTCTGAGAACCGAAATGCTCATTTGTTCCACGAAAAGCCAAATTTCTTTCAAGCAAAAAGACTGTTAGATTGAATGAACGCTTCACAATACTCCTCCAAAATTCCTTCTCCTTCCGAAGTAATTCTATTTCTTGCATATCTATGGTCGCTTTGCTTGTCAAACCCAACCGCAGATCTTGCCAATGAAACAAGAATTGTTGATGGCTTTATCATGTTCACGTTCTTTCATTTTTTTACAAAGACTTTCTCACACATTTGTTCCTTTTATAAAAAGCACTGAAGACTCAGCATCACTAAAAAGTTTACAACAAAAGCAATAAATCCGATCACTTTTTAGAGAATATACCAACCACGGCCGTTTCACTTTTTCCTTATTTGGCATTATCCGATAGTAATGACATTTTGAGAAACGCCTTTAATATTCATTGCAAGGATATTCATCCATCTCATCTTGAATAGGGCCAAGTTCAACAATATTACAGCGTTCTTTATCAGAAATGACTAAAGGCTACTTGGAAATATCATTAGATAAAGAGTAAAATTAAGGAAGTCTGTTGGTAACTGTCCCGATGGTGTTTCCTTGTCAGTAAATATTTCTTCTTCATTAGATGTTTCACTTTTGCGTGATTGTTCACATTCAGAAGATTTTGAAAATGATTCAGTTAACGGTGTAAAAAATTCTTGGGAGCTTGACTACTGATGCCGTCATCTGCTCTTTCACTTTTCATTTCTGTGATCCCCTTTTATATCGTTTCATGCCTGTAAGATGCTATTAAAAATTTAATCGTAATTTGTATTAGTTCTAAAGTTAAATCTTCCAAGCAATCCTAATTCAAATGTAAACGAAAAAATACTGTATTTACGAGGTAACCTTTATTCATAACAATGCAGTATTTACGAGATAATCATCATTATTAATTTATATATCATATCTGTCTAGTAACAAATATTATTAGATGATTATTATTAAAATTATCATAAAAATTATTACTAATTATAGACAATTTAAATATAAAAAAAAAATAATTTTTATAATTTTTTTTTATTTAATGTATTTTGTTTGCGGTGGGCTTTTGTTTGTTATTCAACTTCCGATAGCAACTTTTTTTTTTCTTTTTGTCACGTCCAACTAAAAAAAGCTAAAAAAAAAAAAAAAAAAGCAATCTCTATTCCGAAATTTCGCCACGAGTTTCTAAGTGCTATTTTCACCGAATGAGTAGGTGAAGTTTATGTTGCTATGGCTCCAAGTTGTATCCTTTTGAATCAGTTTCGGATTAAAGATCAAGGTAAACGGCTGGCAGGCACAGAAGAGAACTAATATCGCGGTTAACCCATTGTAAAAAAAAAAAAAAAAATCGAGAATCCCCCCCCCCGAATGACATCAAAATCCGTGAAAAATGTTTGTCCTTTAATATTCAGTTGTTTATTACGGCAAGAGAAAAGTCGGGGTCTTATCGTCGATGATAAAACGATAATAGCTTGGTTTTTGAGGCACTGAAATTTACAAGTCATTTTTTCCCCTATTGAGATGTCAGATGCAGACCAGACAAAAGAATACCTGAAGTTTCCGATCTCCAACATGTGCAAGTTATCTTTATCCTTTAGATTGATCTTGTTTGCTTCCATTTAAAAATAAGGAAAGTTTCTTCTGTGGAAGAGAAAAAAAATTCTAAATAATCTGACAGTTTCATTCACTCGCAGCTGACGACAGTAGAGAGCTTGAAAATTCGAATTCATACAAAAATCAAAATTTTGAATTTCGAATTCTTGATCGTTGAGACAGCTAAGACCTTCCCACTTGTAACATTGACGCAGCACAATCACCTGTAACGCCATAGTTGCACATTACTAATAAGAACGCGAGACTAAATCTCTCATTCGTAACATTATTGTTTACTAGCAGTAGAGCCCGTCGTTGTCCGGAGATGTAACAGTAAGAAATAGATCAAGTATCGACCATCTTAAAGACTGAAAAATAAAATTGACAAAGATTATTGTTTAAGGTTGACGGACACGCATGTCTTAATTAGTTTTTTTTTTTTTTACGAATTGGTCAAACCAAACTCAAACAAAAACATTGTTTTCAATCGTTATGAGTCTACCGATTGAATAGAATTTTTTATATAAACAATTGTCTTGTAAATGGAATTTTAAAGCATTCTGAATGTAAAAATAAAGAAAAAAAAAAAAGCGTGCAAGACAATAAGAAACACTATCTGCCAAAAAAAAAGTGAAGTTTTGTTGAAATCGGTTGAAAATGTAGGAAATCCGATCATATATAAACGAACAACACACACACACACACACACACACACACACACACACACACACACACACACAACCTGGGTTTTATAATAAGTATAACTCGATCTGAGCTGTCCCCCATTCATTCTAGCGACAGCGATGCTTCTTAATCGTGTTTTCAAATTGATTTCGTGCAAAAACAATTGTGTTTTTCCAATTTTTGGCGCTGTCAGAACCACCGCAAGGTAATTTTACGTAGTCCTGTGAAGTTTTGTTGAAATCGGTTGAAAAATGTAGGAAATCCGTTTCAATATACAAACGAACAGACACACATACACACACAACCTGGGTTTTATAATAAGTATGATTCAACTCCAGACGGCAATGTAGTACGCGCCGGCCCTGTAAATAAAGCGTATTTCAAAAGGACGATTTTTCCCTTGACACCGTATACACTTTTGACTCCCTAGGCAATGTTTATAAGCTTATAAAAATACGTGAACCAAGTAAAATGAGATATTTATTGTTTACCTTTTAAAAAGAAATAATTTTGAAAAGGAATCTTTTTATTAAAATTTATAAAAAAATATATAAAAATTATCAAAATTTGTAAGGAAGAGATGCTCTGAAATTATTTTAGTGAATTTATGTTGTGAGAGAAAATGAAAGAAATACTCGGAAAATTCTTTTTTTTTTTAATATATAATTACAGTTACTCGTCATTATGTGTTTATTCAGATTTTCTTGTTCACAGTCATTTTTATAAATAAAAATATTACTTTCATATTTATTTCTTCCTAAAATGGTAAATAATAAATATTTCATTATAGTTGGTTTACGAATAAAGAAAATATATAATGCCATTTTCATATCTTTGGATTTTATTCAAATTTTAATCATAGCTTTTTAAAACAACAAACATTGCCAAAGAAGGTAGAAGTATATACATTAATAACAGCGTTGTGGCAATAACTCCTTTCAACAAATGCTTTTTTTGCAAGCGCTAAAGTTAAAAATTGCCTACCAAACGTTGTCACTTATTGTTAGCGAGTGTGTTTGTGGTTAGAAAGGTTTTCTCCGAGTGTGGATTCTACATTCTCGTTAGGATGTAAGAAACCCACACCATTCACATCTCACTCGGGTGGTGTTTATTTATCTACCTGTCATCTGGTTTTCCCACGTACGCACATCCCAGACGTGTATGTGTATGTTGGGGACAGTCACTGACATCTAGTGAAGGAGTGGATCTGCACTTGTCAGCTAGGAGGGTATCTTTTAGGTTAATATGCTGATGCACAAGTCTTCTCTAATGGACACTGGATGCAAAGTCTATTTTGACATCATCTTAAATAAGTCACATGCTACACATTCTAACTTTCTTTTGGAAAGTCATTTCGGTCGGTGAAAATGTTAAAGATCTTAGATCTCGCATGAAGCACCCAGCGCTCTGACTATTGGGCTCTGAGTCGACGTCCGGTATTATAAGGAAGACGATAAAACCAAATTCATCTCTTTGACTTCGTTATGAATTTCAGCCGCCGCAAGTGGGCGAAATTTCGCACGAAGTGAAGAAGTTAAGACATTTGATGGGAATTTATGACCGAAAGTCAGAGATGCGCGTCTTCGAGAAGAGAAGCGTTGGAAAGGGCATCGTTAAGTAATTCCATGAAGGAACTTCGCGAAAGAAATACGTTTCCTGAAAAGGGATGTCGGTTGGGTATAGTGGTCAGCCAGCAGAAAGATTTCCTGACGAGAGAGAAGGCTTTTTAGATATATAAAGTATAAAGAAAGAAGATACGGGAATTAATGGTTTACAAGAGAGAAGGCTAAAAGAGAGAGTTGGAAAGAAAGAGAGAGATAAAGAGAGAGAATTAGAGAAAGAGAGAAATAGAGAGAATTAGAAAGAGAGAGAGAGAGAGAGAGATAAAGAGAGAGAATTAGAGAGGGACCGTCGATGTGGTCAAGGAATGAGGCTGCCAAAAAGTAATCAACCCGGCATACTTCGCAAAATCAGTATTCTGATATTTGGCCATTAAATTACTACGTTTGAAAGAAGGGTATCGACTGAAAGCTTTTCAACTGAAAGCTTTTTCAGCGTTTAGATAGATAGATAGATAGATAGATAGATAGATAGATAGATAGATAGATATGCATTGACCGAGATAGATAGATAGATAGATAGAAAAGAAAGAGACTTGAATAAATGGAACAGATACACACGCGCGCGCACGCACGCACACACACACACACATATATATAACATATATATATATATATATATAGATAGATAGATAGATAGATAGATAGAAGCAGGCTTGAAAATGGAACATATATCTGTTCATCTCTCTCTCTCTCTCTCTCTATATATATATATATATATATATATATATATATATATATCTCAAAATAACAACACACCTACTAAGTCGAAGTTGCAAAAGAACGAACATAAGTTCAAATGCCCCTTAAGGAACTGTGTTCCTGATCAAACCGGACTCATAAATAATTACATCGGTTACATAACCACATGCTTATCCAGACGTCTTAGGTTACACCTATCTGATCACAACTCCATTAGAACCCATTTAAACACACACACAGATTTACCCGATTCCATTAGGAACATACTAGTAGAAAACACAAATATATTAACTGCATCCACTTGCAAAAAATGATTAAAAATAATGGAAACTTTAATAATAAAAAAGAAAAGCCAACTCTTAACAATATTAACTATGAACAAAGCCACAATGTGCTAACCGTATTCGGAAATTAAAAAACATCCCTACGACACACTAACACATACACAGAACGCACACACTTAATTAAGCTGAAAAATCGAATCATCCTTGATAATGGCTAGAGGTATAGCCGAAAGCGCTCGGAAATATAAAACATTTGGACAGTTCTTACACACCCTTTGTCCAGAAAAGAAAGCTCTTGTTCGGACACAAGAAAAATTAAATAAAAAGCTTAACCGTAGTACCTTGTCTGTTGTTTTTAATGAAACATGCATAAAGGAAGGATTGCTGCCTAAATATACAACTCTCTCTCCCCCCCTCTCTCTCTCTCTCTATATATATATATATATATATATATATAGACCGATAGATAGATAGATGTGAACAGACATATAGGTTTTTCTGACGATCGCAAAGGGCGTGAAAAACAGGGTCACAAACTCACATCAATCCAAGCGAATATATATATATATATATATATATATATATATATATATAAATATAGATAAACAGCGATAGATAGAAACAGACTTGAATAAATGGAAGAGATAGATAGATAGATAGATAGATAGATAGATAGATAGATAGATAGATTGTACTCGACTCTTGCGTTTATGTAAATGAAGAGAAGATAAAGACTGAGGCGGGGGAAGACAAAATAGAAAAAAAAAAAAAAAAAAAAGAAAAGAGGAGTTAAAGGATAAAAGAGGAGAAAAATGAAAAGATACCAATGGAAGTGAGTGTGGCGTAAAATTATGGGGAAAATAAACAAAAAGAAAGAAAGAAAAAAAGGCAGAAGCCAAAAGTTCACAAGGCTCGTTTACAATAGGGAATTGAAGGGAGCGAGAATAGCCAGATCGAAAATTAGATAAGAAGCAAGAGAAAGTGAGAAAGGTTGAACAGGAAGCCAAAATCGAGTGACCGGAATTAAAAAGAAAGCTGTTAAGTTGGCCGCATTTGGCGACTGGCCAAAAAGCAAGCATTACTGACCAACGTGCTTCTCATGAAAGCATTACCACGGTAGCCTGTTGGTCAACGAATAATCTCTGCCCTCCCCAGTATGCAGTTTGGCCCGACGCCCATCTGTCGATGTCTGGGGCGATAGTTTTATGTCGGGACACAGCTGTGTTTCTGATTTCTCTGGGTTACTAGTTGAATACCGATCAGACATCAAGTGCCAACTTGGTATTTGGCAGGCCGAGATTTAAGCTAGTGCGTTCAGTTTTGCCAATAGGAAGGAGGGTGCCATATCTCAAATAAACTTTTTGGCAAGATTTTTACTATAATCGGAAAATTATGGCGAAAATATGGCAAATCGTCTGTAAGAACCTCTCTGAAATGCTTTGATTAATAATAATAATTATTATTATTGCTATTGTTGTTGTTATTATTATTATTTTTATTTTCTTTGATTTCTGGCGTTTACACATTTCTTTCCGGGTCCCGCCCAGGGACCTAAGGTTAGAAATGGCATCATGACACTTTCCACTGACAAAAAAAAAAAAAAAAAAATTAAATTACATAGATACAGCCCTTCGTAAGGTGTGGGCTGTACTTGTCAGAACAATTTTTTGTATCTCCTTAAGGCATGGACTTCCAGGAATCCCTTCAATTAGTCTACTGCAATCTTTTCCAACCAGTCCTAGGGCTCCAATTACAACAGGGATTGTTGATGTTCCCATATGCCACATTTTCGAGATTTCTATTTCAAGGTCCTTGTACTTTGACAACTTTTTGCATATCTTCAAAGATACATTGCAGTCAGCAGGGACTGCCATATCAATAAGGAGGCACCGTTTTTGTTTGTGGTCTTTAATAACAATATCTGGCCGGTTGGCCTTGATTGTTCTGTCAGTGTGTATTGTGTAATCCCATATTATTATTATTATTATTATTATTATTATTATTATTATTATTATTATTTCCTTTGATTTCTGGTATATACTTATTTTTTCCGGGTCCCGACCAGAGATCTAATATCTGAAATGGCATCATGACATTTTCCACTAAGAGTTTTGCAAAAAGGAAAAGAAATCACACATATTTTACACAGATAAAGTCCTTTATAAGGTGTGGGCTGTACTTTTGAGTATGTGTTTTTGTATTTCTTTAAGGCATACACTGCCAGGGATTCCTTCAATGAGACTATTGAAATCTTTTCCAATCAATTCGAGGGCTCCAACTACAACTGGAATTGTTAATGTCATCATGTGCCACATTTTTGAAATTTCGATTTCAAGGTCCTTGTATTTTGATAGTTATTTGAAGATCTTCAAAGATACATTGCAGTCTGCAGGGACTGCCATGTTATTGTTGTTGTTGTTGTTATTATTATTATTATTATTGTTGTTGTTGCTGTTTTGTTTTGTGTAGTATGTATTCCCTACAAGTTTCAACGAGAGACTTCAAGAGAAAATCAGATGAGATGCCACGCAACTAGCAAGAAAAAAATTGCCACTTACCTATGAGTATAATTTTTTGCAATTCATATATATTTGATCTTCCAAGAATTTGTTCCACACAATTTTTTACTCCTTTTGATATAATTCGCATTGTCCCAATAATAAGTTATTATTATTATTATTATTATTATTATTATTGGTGTCGAACATTGATGTAGTCAATGGAAATTTTGTCTCTGAGGGATGGTGATTTCAAGACGCCTCGCAACTAAAGAACTTTCAGAGAATCCTTGCAGAACAAAGGATGGCAGTTTTGAAGATGTCACCAGTTCCAAGTGTCTCAATTCCTATTTTCCCTACGCACTCTTTCAATTTTGTAAATGTTTCAAGCGAACCCAGTGCTACAGGAATTATTTCAAGTCATGTTTCATAGCTTCTTCAACTCCCTAGTCAGACCCTGGCATTTCTCATGTCCATTCTTGTATCATATGGAACAACAAAGTCAATAATTTGTCTTCAGAGTCTTCAGGTCGGGTCTTCGTGCTTCATTCAGTAAGGACAGAAAAATCCCATAATATCTTCTTCTTCTTCTTCTTCTTTCTTCTTCTTCTTCTTCTTCTTCTTCTTCTTCTTCTTATTATTATTCTTATTATTATTATTATTATTATTATTATTATTATTGTTGTTGTTGTTTTATCGTCAGTCTCTTTGCGATGCGATATTATTAAAAGGAAAGACCAAAAGATTTTTTTATACGTAAAAATTTTTTTTTTTTAATTCTTTTTGGAAACTTTGAAATTCCGGTTAAAATTTTGTTTTTTTCTGGCGTCAACGGGGGACCGTAGATTTGTATGGGAAATTTGAGCGTCTTTTTGTGATGAAGTACACATTGATTGTAAATTCTTGCAAAAATCAAATAATTGTCGGATTGTAATTAAATTTGACTTATTCAAAAATGAATGAAATTATTTTTGAAATATTTCTTTTTTTTTTATAAAGTCTTGGTAAAATATTTTCTTTACATCTGTTGTACCCACTTATTTAATTTTCTGAAATTTCGAGGAATTCTTTTTCGTATAGTTTAATATTAGCTATGAGGACAAGACCACGGAGAATTCAAATCATCAAATGTTTTGGTCAAGCCAGACTACCATTTAGAAACTCTACTCTGAATTGGAAAATAAAAATGCAATAAGACATTATTTAATTAGAAAATCTCGTAATTTCTGTAACATATATATATATATATATATATATATATATATATATATATATTATGGATACTATTGTCTAAGAAAAAATTTTTTTCGACGAATAATGTATTTTTACAAGAAATATTTCTGTTTTTTTTTCATTTTAATTTGAATAAATTTTATATATTTTAAAATTCTGTATTATTTTGTAGCTGTCAAAGTGATATTATTATTATTAAATAAAAACTGTACTAATCCCAAACAGAAAAGCTTACTACAATTCATCAAGTTCCAGCATTTTAAAAAGAATTTTGACATTTTTATAAACGTGCCGATTTTTGTAATTATTGATGGCCATACAATAAACTATCAGAAAATAAGAGTGGTAACTATAGTAAATTTAAAATTTATTGGCAATTTTCAAAAATTTCATGAACAAGTCTCCGTAAGACTATAAAGCCAAAGTATCTAAAATTCAATAAAATGCTTAAAATATTTTAAAAAATACTGGATAGTTAAAAATATACAAAAAAGGTGTTTACGTTGGGTAGGACGTGATATAATTTTATATCTATTATATCCTCTTTACATAAATTTTCCAAACAGCAATAAATATGTCAAAACCTCATAAAAACACACACTTCGGTGTTAAAAATGTTTATTTTCTTTTTGTTATATTTTAAACTAAAATAAATAATATTTGTTTCAACTGAAATTAATTAAATTTTAAATCAGTTAATTTTTCTCAAATAACGTTGCAGAACATATTTTATTTTTGAAGTATTTTTTAATAAAGAGAATTATGGTGTATCGACAGATTTGTCAATATGAACGATTCCATCGATTTTATTGGTAATCAGGAAAACTATTTCAAATCAGTTTAAGTTGAGTCTGAAATGCAGCAAGGTATTTGGCTTACTGGAGATATTAATTTCAATCTATTATCTTGAAATTAAAACTAAACTAAAATCTAGTTATAAAAGCTAGGTGAGGTACCTATATATATATATATATATATATATATGGATAAAAATATATAAATTTTTACTCCTTCCCCTCACTTTCGTGTGTATATCGCATGAACGGGAACCACTCTTATCTGATGAAGTCCTAAAATGCGTCACACGAAAACATTTTCCTCTTTGTAATAGATTTTTCGAATTTATTTATATATATATATATATATATTGTGCACGTATACTGAAGATCTGCCTGACTAGAAATATGTCAATAGCAAATCCAGTAGCTTACGATTAAAACACTTATACAATTCTGTATAATTTAGATTATCCAACAATATAACTTCAGCAATAAGGAAATATTTGATAAAAAATTAAATTAAATATGTAAAAGTCTTAGAATAAAGCAATCACAAAGTAAAATACTTAGAGGTAATAAAAGAGTTAAAAATAGAAACACAGTCTTGTGTTATATAGGTTAACCCTTTCCCTTAGCCTGTAATGTAGAAACAAATGTTGGCAGAATTTTTCTAAATTTAATACATAAGTATTTCAATAATTCTGCAATATTAAAGATTTTTAGAAAGAATAAAGTAAAGATTAGTTATAGCTGCGTTAGAAATATCGAAGAATCTATATCCCACCATAACAATATTATACTGAATAATTATATCACTAACAAAACAACAACGATACGATATATTGGTTATTCATATGCATCTATATCTATCTATCTATCTATCTATCTATCTATCTATATATATATATATATATATATATATAAATATACATATTAATTTGAAAGTGTAGATGTGTCATGTTAGTGGTGAGTAACTTATGTATATATATATATTATTTTTATGAATACTTTGATGTAAATGTTTATATTTAAATTATAATTCTACCTTTGTAACTTGAAGTAAACAATTTGCGTGGATGTGTGTGTGTTTATATCTTTTATGTAAATACTGTATCAAATACGGTGATATAGATTTGGATATTAACTTCTAGTATTTTAAGTAATTGTGGTTATAGCTTAATATACTATTTTTTGCTAATGTAGTTATTCATATGTATCCATATC